AGAAATTTTTCATCCCTATTCACAAACATTACCTATAGAAAACATATCATTCTGTTCAGCTGCAGGGACATAGCCAGCGGGGTACACAGGATGCTCGGACACCCCTCTTGGCCAGAACAACGCCTGGAGCGGAGTACGAGCCCAAAACCTTTTGAAGAAATTGGAATTTATTTTGTTACTGGTGTGCACCCCACATAATGAGCCGGTACTTCTCTTTTCAGTGGGAGCCCATATGCGATAATTTCTAAAAAAAACAATAATTAAAGCTATCGAAATTAGAAAGTATTTTTATAACTTACTTGAAAAATTTTTTACTAATATCTTCATCTGATTGTTGTCTCATCCATGCAAAAAGAGCAATTAAATCAGATTGGCGCACAAAATTCTCATTGATTCTCTGTTCTTTTTGTTCATCAATCAACCCCTTGATGCTAAGTCGATCATCGACATTTGATAGAATTTGAACAGATTGGTAGCAATCAAAGTTTGTTGAAGAATGCTGTGTAGCTTTTTCGAATAGATGATAAAAAATGTGAGGCGTGTACAGAAAGACATCACTGTCTTTCACCATCGATTGTGGTAGTATTTCACAAAAGAGTCGAAAGAATGCTTCACTAACGAGTTGTTTCTCGAATAGAAAACATTCTCCCTCTAGCAAATGATATAATGCTAGACATGCTGGTGGAAACAGAAATTGACGAAGAATAAGAAGAAATTTAGAAATATGATTAAAGTTGATTACATCGATGTCTGACTCCGATCGATTTAAAAATGTAATCTTTAGCAGTCTTAATGAAATAAGAAATATTGACATGGCCATTTTATTTTGTGCCACACAGCCTAACGGTTGCCAAAAATCATTAGCCAGAAATAGTTCATTTTCTTCTGCTTTTTGGTAGTTAAGATAGTTTATGTCAAATTGACGTTGACATTCAAATAGATAAAAATCTGGAACTTTGTTTTGAGACACGTTATTGTGTTTATGTAGCTTCAAGTAACTTGTAAGTAATTCCTTCGATTTCCAAAGATGCATACGATGGTTGAAGAGAATTGGAAAAGTTTTGGTAAAGGAGAATCTTTCATCAGTAAGGAGTTTAGAAAATAAATCCTCCAGAGTAGCATTGTCGTTCATATTATATTCAAACTGTTCACCAGACAATGTTTGAATACAAATACTTATAGAAGTTTGAGATATGCTTTCTTCCAATCGAAGCTCGGTACCTGACTTGAAACCATATTCATGAATTGTTCGTGATGGCAACAATCGGTCGTTGTTATAAAACAAATTGAAAGACTTAGTCGTGTTAATGTCGAGATCTTCCTTGAGCAAATTAATGAAGTCTCTAATCTTCGTTTCAGGAGCAGGAGTTGGACACCTATTTGGTTGTCCACGATATTTGATAATCAAGTAAATGTCTGCCATTTTCTAGTTGAAAGACAGAAAGGTAATCGCGTATACGAAGTAAATCTAAAGAAACGTTAATATAAATTTATAATGTAAGTAAAAGATCTATCTACTGGACATCTTTCGAAGGGTTGAAAGGCTTTCAAATGGTTTGTAAAGGAAAAGGAAACTAACACGCTCATGGTGATTACCATTCTCGATTGAGATTTTTCCCGTTGCTACCATCAAATTAAAGGTAAGAACGGGTGAAATACTACAGGAATGAATGAAGAATATGAGTATATAAATACAGATGATTGTGTGACGTTTTAATTATTGGAATATAGCAAAATTTTTCATCCAATGTGCAATTTGGTAAAACCCGTCATACATGGTAAAAACCTCATGTGGAAAAAGGAATAAACCGTCGAGAAATAATTTGTGATTTGTCAATGACGCCTTTCATAAAGTTCCACGTGTGAGGGGAGAATTTTTTTCTCCTAGAAGCAACAGAATAAGTAAAATGAGTCAAGTGAATGGGTGTAAATCCAGGTAAAACTTTGTTAGTAAAAACATCCATAATGTTCACTATACTTAGATATGTATTAATGTAGACATAAATTTCTTCGTAGTCAATAGAAGACAATGAACCTTGGATTCCGTCGAATCAACAAATTTGTGAATAGTTTGACGACTTTTTATTTAAATAAGTTGAGTGGCTACGTATTCTCATCTCGAATATAAATGAAAAACAATGAGAACCGTGATAATATATATTTCATTTGTTTGCGAGATGTCGTAATGCGTTTGGACGTTTACATATATCTGAGTTACAATTA